CTTAGGGAGCAGCAGGCACTTGTGAGCACATTTGAGGGTAAGCTTTGTGTTGTAAAGGCAAGAATCTTGTTTTAGTAATTAAGAGACCGGGATTTTAGAAGTGCTTCTGGAGTCTCCTTCCCGCCAACTTGATTAAATATCTAATCTTTACAAAAGTCAGTAGAACCATTTCTAAAATAAAGATAAAGGGGCCTCCTTAGTGGCCCACGGGGTAAGAAGCAACATTATGGGGCATTATCCCCAGCCACTGCAGCTCAGAGTTCCATCCCTGACCAGGGAGGTGCCATCAAGGTACAGCGGACCTGTCCTGTCCCGTCCCTGCTGGCTGCTACACCCCTCAGCACTGTATTCTGGTCAGTCCAGTAGTTCTGCTCCCTGCTCTGTCTGCTGAATCCTCTCACCACCATTCCCACATACATCTCTGGCCTGTACCCCAGTCCTTGTGTGCATAAATAAATAAATCTTAAAAAAAAATAAAATGAAGATAAAAATCTTGTCTAACCAAAATGAGATCAGTGGATGCAAATCCCTTTTAAGCTGTAGAGGGCTCACTTTTATACTGCATGAGCTGATGTTAGAATAATGTCTATTTAAGCTATAGACTAATTCTAGCCAGTTAAATAGGCTTGCCTCAGTTTTCTCATCTATAAAATGGGCTAATGATAGCAACCCCACCTACTTCAGTCAATAGTAAGGATAAAATAAGATAATAGATGTGAAAGTATCTTTAAAATGAAAGTGTTCTTGGTGATACAGATTATTAGTTTTAAGTAAATGGTTTTTCTTGAGTTTCACAAACAATCTTGAGGAAAATAACATGTAACAAATTTGAAAAAAAATCAGCATGTTTGATTTATTACCTTCAGAACCTCAAGAAATTGCACATTAAAAAAAAGATAGGAATAGAAAGTGTTATTGTTATTTAGGGAAGGATGAATACAATTAAGTGGTATACTCAAAGTTATACTTGATAAACATTTTTTAAAGATTTATTTTTATTTATTTATTCATAGAAGAACTAGGGTGCAGGCCAGAGACACAGGTGGGTGAGAGTGTTCGCCAGAGACAGAGTGGGGAACAGAACAGACAGATTGATGAAGTACACTGCTGAGGGAAGCAGCAGGTGAGACAGGAGAGCTCTGGGTGCCATGTGGATCACCTCCCTGGCCAGGGATAGATCTTGTGTTGCAGTTGCTGGAGAGAGCTTGATAGCACTAAGACTTTAAGCTCTGCACCACCAGGGAGGCCCAGTAGGACACTTGATAAACACTTTTTAAATTCTTATATTTAAATTAGATGTATTGACTAAAGTCCATATCTAATAAACCAATTTACTTTAATAAAAACATTAATAAATCAGGTATATTGTAAACACAAAGTGTTTACTAGAAATATTAATATTCAGCTAATATTTATGTACCAGGTATTTTTTTAAAGTATTGTTTAATTTTTAACTTTTTAGTAAGTCCATTTAAAAGATGAGGCAAAGGAGTTTCAGAGAGTCTGCTCAGCTTGCCTCAGGTTAAACAGCAGATTAAGATATTCAGAACTTCAATCTCCTCCTCCCTGTTTTTCCTTTGAGTGTTGCTGTGAAGGCCTCTCTCTATTCAGTCTTTAGGAGGCACTGAAGATATTGAATCCAACATTTAAAGCTGTCAGTCAGAGATTTGGTTCAGTTAAAAACCAGAGGTGGATTGTAACATTTTTAAAGAACTTGGAGAAAAGAATACCTCTTAGCTAAAACTTGCTGTCTCGTGAATGATTTTCAGGGGCTTCAAAAATTTGGGCTCTGACCTTTGGAATATCACAATTTTATTAAATATTTCCAGAGCCAATTCATTCCTTTCTAGAGAGAGATTATTAATTATGAAATGCTAAGGGTTAAAAAAAAAGAGAGAGAGAAAAAAAATTGAAGTAATATGAGATTTTAGAAATGAAGAACATTCAAATCTCTTGGGAAGTATCAGTTATTTAAGAGTGACGTGTGCTTGCTGCCACACATAATATGTTCATTTTAAAAAGCATTTATCCCTTGCTGATGTTATAGTTTTTATACAATCTAGTTTAATGAACTTGGTGTCATTTTCAGATATGAATGTTGGTAAGCTCTGTTTACCAGAAATCTTAATTACTTAATTACTTTGAAATCTAAACGATCAAGTCTGTTCCTTTGCCTTTGACTTACTGGTAAGATTGTTCAACATTACAGTTTAAAATGAAGAAGCCTTCAAATGTATGTATCTGGTTTGGCTGTTTATTTCCCATTATCTACAGAATGACATTGATATGCCCTTACGACTTGTCAAGTCAGTTTTAATGAGTAGCTGTAGTGTTCTGTTCTCTTGAAGAATTATCTAAGTATAATACTTGCTTGTGTACAGTTACATGCATCAATTAAACTATGATCTTTACGTGATTAAAAAAGTAACTTTGTGGATGGAAATATGAAATATTAAACATACATTTATTTTCCCTTTTATTTGCTCCTGTAGTAACAGATTTTTATCCTTCTTAATAAATAGCTGAGTTTAATCCTGAGAATCTTTAAAGCAAACTAGTCTCCTGATGTTCAGTTTAGTGTCAGCTGAAGTTATCTAACCCAGGAGCTTGAAAGAGACCGATGATTGCTGACTTATAACATCATTGTAAGTCTGGCTTTAAAAATATTTATTCTTAAATTAATAAAATCATTTAACAGATAAGGAAAACAGACAGGAAATATAAAGGGAGGTAACATAAAATCCAAATAATACAACAGAGCTGTACGGGGTGGAAAAGTAAACGGCCATCTGAACTCCACAAGATGTCAAGGACTTTTCGAACTCAAAAGAGGGAAAGATCAGTTTCAACAAGGCTTACACTTGCTTGTACATTGGAATTTCAAAGATAAGGTTTGGTGACTTAGAATGACTAGATTGGTTATTCTTACAAAGAGGATTGGTTGGTGGCCAGGGGAAGAAGACATCAGAATCACTAAATTTCTCTTTCAGCAGAGAAATTGGCCTTGTATTGTTTCTGCTACCTTTTTTTTATTTCCTAAAGATTTATTTATTTATACAAGAACTGAGGTACGGGGCCAGAGGTGTGGGGGGTGAGAGGATTAACCTGAAGCAGAGTGGGGAGCAGAACAGGCAGATTGACTGAAATACACTGCTGAGGGGAGCAGCCGGTGAGACAGGAGAGGCTTCTTGGTTGGGGATTGAACTCGTGCTGCTCTGGCTGCGGATAGCTTCATAGTGCTACTCTTTAACCTGTTGCCACACCAAGGAGAGGCCTTGTTTCTGCTACTTCTAATATTTCAAGATAAGGCATTCTGAAAAGTTATCTAAGATTCTATTTTCTTCATCACCCTGGCTTTATTTGCTGCTTATATGAATTGAAAGGGCTCAGTCTGATCAGTGACTGGATGCCGAGCTCCAAAAAGTGTTTTGGGATTCACATACTGTTGTTTCCAGAAGATAGCGACTTTGCCTTTCTTTGCCAATCCTATTTGTCAAACCCAAGCTGGATTTGAGTTTAATTCAGCAGCACCAAACTCTGGTAGGTTTGGGGAGATGCTGTGGAGCTGATAATCTAGTGAGCTGTCTAGTTTTTACTAACTATAACATCAAATCGGACTGTGATAAGTGCTACAAGAGTGTTATAAACAAAGTGTTGAAGGTGAAGTTAATTCTGTCTAGGGGTCAAGAAAGGTCTCAGAGAGAAGGTGACATTTCAGAGGACCCTAAAGCAAGAGCAGTGTTTTGCTAGCTGGAGAAGGGGTGGATGTGATTACACACCGGGGAACAGATCTTCAGGAGAGTAGGAGAAAGGGCAAGTTGTTGAGGGCCGTTGTGTTGTTTAGGGTTACTGAGCCCACTAAAAGTCTGTGTAAAAAAAGAACATATCAATATAATGTATCCAAAAATTACAACTATTACAACTTTTGCATGCACAAAAAGAGACATCTGGAAGAAATGTTTATTATTATTATTATTCTTGTTCACTGTGTACCCAGCCCTCTGTTAGCCACATTGAAGAGATGAGGGAAATCCTTACCTTGGAAATGTTTATATTTTATCTGGAAGAAAGACTAACTCATATAAAACATTTTAAAATAACATTCAAAGGCAAGGAATTAGTGGGCCCAAAACTCAAGCTAAAGATAAGCTACCTCCAGAGAGCATTTTGCAGCCCTCACGCCCCCCATAATGGTAAAGGCAGACTTGAGTCCATAAGAACTAACAGAGGGGTGGGCGACTGGGGGGATCCAAACGCATAAGCAGGAATAAAGGTAATGAGGATCCTTCCATAGGACTTAATACCGACGTGCAGTGGTTCATGTACTTGTATGGGTTAACTAATGAGATGTTCAAATTTCTCTGTTTGGGAGAAACCGTTATCTTCGGTTAATGTATGGGGAAACTGAGGCACAAAGTCACATCTAGGACTCAAACCCGATTCATACACTCTGATTATATCTGTAGTCTCAGAATCTAGAGCAGTATCCTGTGCTGGATGTTAAGATCTTAAAACAAACAAACAAAAACCAAACAAACCTGAGATTTTTCTTTGACTATTTCCAGGAGAATACAATCCAAATAAAAAGAACGACACCAAGTTGCACATTTGTAAATGAACAGAAAAGCACTGAGCTATACAGCCAAAACTTTTTGCCTGACCCAAAGACAGCAAAAAATGTTTCTTTTGCTTTCTTCTTCTTCTTCTTTTTTTTTTCATTTTGTGACAATTTGGTGTTTCTGAACGCTAGGGGCTCCCGGAATCTCTGGTTTGAAGAGTAACTTTTGCTTTTAGGACTTTTTTTTTTTTTTTTGAAGGGGGTGGGGGAAAAATGTGGCCTTAATTATTCTACGTTTTAGGCAGCTTAAGGAAGGGGGCTGTGCTTTCTGAATCCCTTCAGAGCCAAGTTAAGGAGGGCCCTCATTTCTCCCTCGCCCTCCCCCTTCTCTCTTTTTAAAGGACCTCGTGAAATAAAAGTGCAGAAAACAAATCCAGGCGATCACAGCGTCAGTCGCAGCTACAGCTTCCCCAGAAGTAGGAGGAGAGAAAACCGCCGTGGGGCCGGCGCTCTGGAGTGGCTGAGCTCAGCGCACTCCCATTCATTAACCAGCTGCGGAGGAAGGTGGCAGAGTGGCGGAGCTGCCCACTCGCTAGCTCGCGCACACAGACTCACGCCAGCCAGCGCGTCCCGGGCTCAACAGCTCTGCAAAAGTTTCTGCTTGCGGCTGGACTCTCTTCTTCTTGGACTTTCGCACGAATTGGAGTGGAAGAAGGGGAAAGCAGAGGAGCACGAGGAAGGCAGAAAACACCACTGTCTGCGGTGGGAAGCCAGCAGCCAGGACTGCACTCTCACCTCAGCTCGGCGAGCCGGGGCCGACCCGCCACTCTCCAAGCGCCTCGGCGGAGAGGCAGTCCCGGTGTCTGGGTGTGTGGCTGCTGTCCCGGGACGACTTCGCGGGCCGGGGGGAGGCTCGCGCCGCAGCCAGGGCCATGCAAAACTACAAATACGATAAGGCGATCGCTCCGGAGAGCAAGAACGGCGGCAGCCCGGCGCTCAACAACAACCCGCGGAGGAGCGGCAGCAAGCGGGTCCTGCTCATCTGCCTCGATCTCTTCTGCCTGTTTATGGGTGAGCCCCGTCCCGCTGCCCCACTCCGCCCCTCGGCGCCCCGCGCGCGTCCCAGCCTGGTGGGGTGCTTGCGCGCGGGGCTCCCATGTTCGTCGCTGGCGCGCGGCCCGGGGCTAGATGTGGGTCTCAGGGCAGCGCCGCGCCGCGCTGTCAGCCGCCGGAGGCCCCCGAAGCTTTCTTAGCGAGCCTTTGCGCCGCTTCAGACCCCGAGGCCCCCGCCCACCCCGATCCCAACGTCCCCGGGGCCTGTAGTTTAGCGTTTGGGTGTGCTTGGGCTTTCGCGGGCAACTGTAAACCAACTCCTTGAAAGCCGTCCCCAGTTGGGATCCTGGATAGAATCTCTCGGAAGGTGTGTAGGTTCGTTCTTTTACACCAGGGGAAGTTGAACCCTGACCTAGAGACAGCGTAGAACTTGTTGCCTTGCATCCAAGTAAAATGGATCTCCTGGAGCGCCTTGCTCCCGCCTGGAGCCTAGCTGCCTTCCCTTTGGCTGTATGTAAACATCCAGCCCTTCCGCCGTGGCTGCCTCGGCCCGGCCAGACCAGTAAACTGGTCTTTTCACTTGTTTCTCGCTCAGCCTTCCCGTCCCCCACCTTGCCCCAGGTGCTGCTCTCTAGGGGCTTGATGCTGGGTGGCGATTCGGCACAGTCATTCTTAAGACACCTACTGTGTGCCAGGTGATGGTTTTAAGCAACCCTCTCCCTGTGCAGATCGAATGAGGACACCCCCCCCCCATTTCACCGAAGGGGAAACTGAGGCACTGGTAAAATTAGCCATCTGGTTTTTGGGAGCACAATTAATTGGGCTCTCAGCAAGATGAGGCGATAGTCCCCTTCTGTTTAGTTAGAGGCCACAGCTAAAAAAGAGCGGTGGGAGTTAAAGGAATTGCAAGTGGGAGGGTTAGGAGGATTTATGAACTCGTGGGGGGGAGGGAGAAAGCTATTGACATGAATCTACAGGAGTTCCAAGGTTGAAGTCAGCGTCGATTTTTTTTTTAAGCCAGTCTTGTTGTAATGGGAAGCCTATGGGACTTGTCATCAGAACACTGCCACTCCGCCTCTACCTGGCCTCAGTTTCCTCATCAGTTGAGTGAGTGGGTTTGAAGGAGATGCTCTGGAAGGCCCCTTACTGCATTAAGAACTCGGATTTGGTCCAGGAGCTGTTCTGCCAACTCTTTAACTCAAGAAACATCTGTGTTCCCAATTCAGTTCCCTTAAAATAGAACTCCTGCACCGAGACTTAAGTCCTTTGGAAAGGGATTTGTCTTTGCAGAGCCGAGAATCTTGGACTGGAGCTCTGCTCCCCTTGCATTCCCCACTCATTCAGTGGCAGGGTCCTTCCTGAGTCCATCTTCCCTTGACTTGACCCACTGCCCATAGCAAATTTGGAGAGCCAAAGAGGGGTGGGATTTTTAGACTGTGAAAATAAAAATGGCTCCTTTTTGGATCAGGAGAGCTAGCCCCGGTAAAATTGTGCTGTGTGGAAAACCTGAAGGGGATTTGGAGGTGAGATAGCAAATCCCTTCCCCACTTCTTATAAGTTCAGCATTCTGATGCTATGTAAAGGATTTGTCACTGGGGGGCCTACCTTCCTGGAAGTCACTGGCTTATTATCATGCACAGTGGGGAGATTAGTACTGCAGTCCTACTGCCTGGCCACTGAATTTTTAAAAGACCCTCCCTGGTCTTGGTGGAGTAGGTGGAAACTCTAAAGACTTGGGCTGTTTGCTGTAAACTTGCCTAGGGCTTCCCAGCAATCTTGGGAGTTGGGTGGTGGGGGAAGCTTATTCTCCACTACCTGCAGAGAGTTGCCACCCACCTCCTACTTGGTGATTAGGAAAGCAGAACATGCTCAACAGCCTTTGCACTGTTTCATTGTTCTCCTCCCCTCCACACTTCTGATTCCAGAAGGCCATCCCAAGACATAGTATATTCCTAATAAAGAAAAGGAAGAGTGAAAGAATATGTAGAAAGACATATTAATCAGCTACAGAGAAGCCAATGGTATAGAAACCTCTGTATCTGTTGTGTACTGAGGGTGTAAGGTGTCTGTTTACAAGTTTCTCTCTCACTCCCTGTTCCTCCTTCTCCCAATTTCTAAGCCTACCTATTTATTTTGTTTATTCACTGTAGGTTTATTTGAACAAGTGACTCTGTTTACCTAAAAAAAACAAGATGACAGGACCCTATATTTTATAAGAAGCACATAGCTGTTCATTTTTAGGGTCTGTCCCATGCTACAACTTTGCCAACAAGTCATTATCAGTCTCCCCTCTGCATAGATTAAAACACAGTGTCACAAATTGAATACCTCTCTCACATGTATAATAAGAAAAACTGTAAGGTAAATATTTACTTGAGAAATTTATGCAGAAGAACTCTATTTGGCGTCCAAAAGAAAATTAATAGCACACATGTGATTTTAATAATCCCCACACCACAGTCCTAAGAAATTGTTTCTACTTGCTTTGCTTTTTGCTAAGATTGTCAGTATGATTTAATTTTCTATATAGTTTATTGATCATATGGTCTGGATTACAGGGCACTAATATATTAAAAAGGGACATAGCTTTCTGTTTATTCTCTTATAGGAATATATACCAAGCTTCATCTGCTTGTATCTGGAAAAAATAAAAGCTGATGTGCTATATAAGTGTTATGTAAGTGGAAATATGCAAGTAGTCTGACTTGTTTCACTTACCTCTTTGGAATGTTAAAAAATGGGTGGAAAAAAACAAAAGTCCTCTCCTCTGAAGACCAAAAAATTCTGGTATCAGAAAACATCCATGGGAGTTCACTTCCCATCAGACAACTATCTTTGCTGAGTATTTGCTTTTATAAATACAGCTATGAATCTTTGCATGGTATTTTTTTCTAGTGTTGATTTTGTTTTCTTTTCAGCAAAGTAATGTGTCTGACCTGTCTTGTGCCTTGGCTCTGGGGCAGGACACTCTCAACAGCAGCTTCTACTATCTTTCTAAGCTCTGTTGCCTTACTTTAATTTTTAACTTTAATTTTTTTTAATTAAAATTATATTAAATATTTATTAAAGCATGGGACTATAGAAAAAAATAATTCTGTTTAGCACACACATGGGAATAAACTTGTATAAATTATTGCACAACTGAAACCACAGTGCATAATGTTCGCCTCTTTTTTATATACATTAGATTATGTACTTGTCACTGTAACTCAGATGAAGAGATTATTTCTATTTTATAGATGAGGGAGAAACTGTCACAGGCAAGACTGAGGTTTTTGTTGTTGATTTGGGTCAATCCCCCGTTTCCAGAGAGCATAGTGGAGTCCATTCCCCTCTCCTTTCCTATCTGAAGAATCCTGAAACTAGATTTGTTATGCGGCAGATGATGAAACCTATTTAGAGCAGGCAGGTTTGGGGTTCTGGGTTGCCCCTCTTCCTGCCCTGTAACAGATTCTCATCAAAAAATTCTGAAGCTCAGTTTGCAGAAAGCACTGCCTCTACATTTCTTAGTTACCCACCCATTGGAACCAAAGCAGATAGATACAAATGGTTCAGTTCTTTTCTGGTGAGTGACATGGTTTTCTTGCTCCATGGTTTTGTTTTGATATGGGCCACTTCTAGTTCTAGTAATTCCCAGAAATTGAGAGTGCCTCAGTGCTCCCGGGGACAGTGGCCCCAAGGAGAGAACATAACCCTCCATGGACAGAGCAGAAATGGCCGAGCTTTGGTACAGCACACTAACCTGCTAGCCCTGCTTCCCACCTTCCTTTCCTGTGCTCCTCTCTGGGTGTTTATGCAGGGCCCTCTTCCAACTCCTGCACTTCAATGGGTCAGCAGTTGTAGTAGTTTTAGTCAGCAGTGTCCTTTCATCTTTCAAGACTTGGGCAAATATAAGGAGTTTAGAATCTGGAGCCCTGGATAAAGGTTTTATGATCCACTGTATAAACTGTGTCTCAATCGTGAATAGATGAGGACATGAAATGGATAGCTGGTAATCACACTATCATGAAGACCATGAACCACACAATTCAAATAGGAGAATGTCACATTTATCCAGTAAGTTGAATACAGTTGATTTCTACTCATTGTTGATCTAAACTTTAGCTGAGAGCAGGCAGCCCCTAAAGTTCAGCAGACTTCTTAAGCCCTGAACCCTGTTCCTCATTTGGCTTTTGAGGGTGGAAGGATTATAGTCAAGGTGGGAGTTGTTTAAGAAAGCAGGTAGTGTTCAGGTTTGACCTAATGACCTAACTCCTGTCCCATCAGTCAATGAGGCAAAAGGAAAGCTGCTCAAAAAGGTAAAAATAGAGAATTTGAATGATTGAACTCTGATCATTATACAAATTTGTATACATTATACAAAATCAATATACAAATTACACAAATTTGGTGGTTCCAGGATGTCTTTGGATATTTTTAAATTTGCTATGAAATAGTTGAGATGAAATTTGAGAACTCTTCCAATGTAATGGAGACACAAGATTGCCATGTGCTATTATGAAACTTTTCACTTTCAGTAGTCTATGAAGTGGAGGAATAGGGTGTAGTGAAGAGAATGGGAGGCTTACAGCCAAAAGCTTCAGGCTCCGGGCCTGCAGTTTCTACCACCTTCTAGTTGTGTGATTGGTAAAAGGACTGGTTGGTTGGGATCTTGATCATGCTTGGGGCTGCCACATGACTGTCTGTGGCCGATTCCTAACAGAATGACACTGGTTGAACGTCTGCTTCTGGTTTGCTAGTTAGCTCTTTCTTATCTTTTAGCTCAGTGAGTTTTCTCCACAATGAGGAACCTGCATATATGAGTTCTGGTCTTGTACTGCCACTTGATGCTATGTGACCTTAGGAAAAGTCACTTGACTTTTCTTGACTTTATCATTGCAACAAAGGGAATAGATGGATCATTTCTGAAACCCATTCCAATGCCAACAATTTTAGGAGTCTGCATGGTGATAGAGGAAGCCAGTCACTGCTTAGATCATTTGTCATCAATTGAATTGTTACCGATTTTTTTTTTTAAA